TGTCGGATAATTAAGGAAACAGGTGCAGAATTTAGAGGTCAGAAGCAGATGATTCAAAGAGGGATGATAACGCTCAACCTTTATTTCCCAAAGAGCATTAGAAAAGCATGTCATGTGTGATTCAAAACATACAGCTATTTTAAGAGGGTTTTAAAAAGCCGGGCTGTGGTATTGCAGAGGCAGGTGAATCTCTGTGATTTTGGGGTCAGGCTGGTCTACCAGGTAGGTTCTAGGACAGCCAGGGCTGTTATACAGACAAACCCTGTCTTTAAAAAAAAATTTTTTTTCAACAACTTTGATTGAGCTAGGTGTGGTGGTATACACCATCACTCCCTGGAGGATCTCTGAGTTTGAGGCCAGTCTAGTCTACATAGCAAGTTCCATGCCAGCCAAGGTAACAGAAACCCTGTCTGGAAAAGGGGGGAAGGGGAGCTGGAGATGACTCAGTGGTTAAGAGCACAACTGCTTTTGCAAAGAACCCAGGTTCTATTCCCAGCACCCACACAGTGGCTCACAACTGTCTTACCTCCATTTCCAGGGGATCTGATGCCTATTTTGGCCTTTGTATACATACACACAGACAGGCAAAACACCCATACTCATTAAAAACGAATCGTTTGTTTTTACTTTATTTTTGTTCTATATGTATGAGTGTTTGTCTGAAAGTGTGCCTGTGCATCACGTGTATGTAGTGCCTGAGTGCAGTGATCTTGCAACTGTGAGGCAGGGCCCTACCACTAGGGCAAGTTCTCAAGCCCCTTGGTTTTTAGGTTTGTTTGTTTGTTTGTTTTAAGATTAATTTTAGCATGTGTGTACTAAATTTCATCTTAAAAAACTCATGAATATGTATGCATGCATGCATTTGTCTGTATATCCACTTTCCTGCAGAAGCCAAAAGAGTATTAGATCCCTTGCAATTGGAGTTACAGGGAGTTGTGAACTATCTCACATGGGTTCTGGGAACCAAGCTCAGGTCCTCTGCAAAAACAGCAGTCACCCTTAACCACTGAGCATTGTCTCCAGCCCACCACCTTGACTTTTTGAAGTGTGGGACAGTAAGACCTCAGACTCTTGATCCTCTTGGCCTCTCTGGTGCTGGCTGAGATTAGAAGCCTGCCCCACCATTCTTGGTTTCAGTGCCTTCCGGTTTACTGGAGTATGCAAACAGCTGTCATGTGCTTGTGTGTTCTTTGAGGGATCCAGTGGGCCCACTTCTTTCTAGTCTTTGACCCTCAGCCGTCCGGGTTTTGCTAAAGTCACCTCACTGTGACTGCTGGTGATGCTATTACTCAATCCACTTTTCTCCTCAAACTTGGTCTTCCTGCATTTGACACTTTAGAGCTTGAAGGTTATCCTTTGGCTTTTGTGAAAATCTTTCCTATCCCCTCCCCCTCATTTCTTGTTTTTCTATCCACACTCTCCCATATTTGTTACTGGATACTCCACCTTTCTTCAGTGATGTCTTCTGGGTTGTGCCCTTGCTTTCTTCTTAGCCCAGACCCACTGACATGGCTACAGACAGTGTGAACTAAGTAGTGGAATGGCCAGTAGACAGGAGTGTGAGGGAAGGGAATAGGTTAAGCCACCAGAATGTGCTGGAGTACTACTTTAGGGACTTGTAAAGTGACTGACCAGCTTTGTTCTAAGCCAGGATGGTGACACATACCTGTGTCTATAGCACTAGGGAGGCTGAGAGAGGACGATCATGAGTTCAAGGCCAGCTTGTACACACCAAGACCCTGTCCCGAAAAACAAAATCATGCTTCATTCCAAGACTCAGAGTTGTGTAGAGGTGCTAAACAGGGTGAAGGTTCTGGGTGGATGTTTCTCCTTTATCATGGGTGACTTGGTGTGTGTATTTTCATTTACACTTACCAGTTGAGGAGAAAGTGTCCCCTGATAATAGAAAAGTTTGGAGGCTATTGAAGTTCCAAAGGAACTTTGGCTGGGTGGTGGTGGTGGTGGTGGTGGTTTTTCAGGGAAACAAGATCCCTGCTCATCTGCTTAGAGAAGCTGTGCTGGACTTTTACTCTAACACAGCAGTCCGAGCCTCGCAGAGCTAGGTGTAGCCTGCTCTTCCTTCTGGGCCCCTTAGGTGAGAGCCGTAGTGTAGAAAAGACTGGAATAGACTTGGAGTGGGAACCCAAACGCTTCAGCCTTTTATCTTTTCACCGCACTCCAAGCCCATGGTGTGTCTTCCAGGTACGGTCCTCGCCCGCTGCCTCGTCTTTCCTCTGATCGTGAAGGGCCAGCGAGAAGCAGCCAAGATCCACAACCACATGCCGGTGATACAGAAGTTTTCCACTAAAATCAGAGAGGCCAAGTTGGCAGGAGACCATGCTGAGTGTGAGTTGGTTACAGGGCAAGTGTGGGATAGAACCACTTTGCGCTTCAGGCCTTCTGCTGCAGAAGAGGGGGGCAGGTGCTGTGTATGGTTGGGCAGTTCTGATAAATCTGAAGGTTTATCCATTCCTTGGAAGGTTCATGGACCCAAGACGAGGATGTTCACCTTCTCTGATGTCCCTCTTAACCCAGTGACGCATATTCCTCCCCTTACAGTTTACAGGGCCTCCTTAGAGATGACACACTATCAGAAAAAGCATGATATTAAACTCTCCAGGCCGCTCATTCTACCTCTCACTCAGGTGAGCACAAACGTTCTCCTGCTTGTTCACCCTGAGCCCACCAAGTTGTCTCCTGCTTCCCATGTCCCAGGATCCCCAGAGAAGCAGGCGACGGTGATATGCATGACTTTTCGTGATGGGGTTAGATGTGCTGACGGTTCCTCCTGTGTAACAGGCTCCCATCTTCATCTCCTTCTTCATTGCCTTGAGAGAGATGGCCAATCTGCCTGTGCCCAGCCTACAGACAGGGGGGCTCTGGTGGTTCCAAGATCTCACGGCATCTGACCCCATCTACGTCTTACCACTGGTAGTCACTGCCACAATGTGGAGTGTCCTTGAGGTAAGCTGGGGCTGGCCAAGCACGAGACCTGCCATTAAACAGGGAGTAGATATGAAGTGGTGTGCAGAATGGACCTTCCATTCCCTGGAAGAGTAAAGTCGATGGGTCAGGGATTGGAGTTCACTGGTCTTTCCCTCAACCCCTTTTTGGCAGCTCGGTGCTGAGACAGGCGTGCAGAGCGCTGACCTCCACTTCATGAGGACTGTTTTCAGAGTGATGCCCCTGATGCTCTTGCCCGTGACCATCCACTTCCCCTCGGTAGGTAGTGGCTTTGTGGCTGCCTCCAGGTCCTTCCCCCTAGTGCCTCTGAACAAGCTGACTGGGCACACGGCTCTGAGCATCTTCTCTTCCCTCACGCAGGCAGTGTGCATGTACTGGCTCTCCTCCAACATGTTCTCCCTGTGCCAAGTGGCCTGCCTCCGAATTCCAGCTGTGCGCACAGTGCTTAAAATCCCCCAGCGTGTCACACATGACACTGACACACTGCCTCCTCGGGAAGGCTTCCTGAAGAGCTTCAGGAAAGGTAAGGGGTGTCTGGCAGTGTGGTGAGGAGAACCTGTAATCCCAACAGGCAGGAAGCCGAAGCAGGAGTGCACTCACTACCTAGCCAACCGAGGCTCCCTGGTGGGCTCAAGATCAGCCTGGGCTATGGAACTGAAGACTTTTCTTGAAAAGGAAAGGGCAGGGAGGTCAGGACCAGGAGAAAGTAACCTAAAAATAGAGGGTGACTGCTTTTCTCCTCACACAGGCTGGAAGAGTGCTGAAATTGCGCATCAGCTCCAAGAGCGTGAGCATCGAATGCAGAAGCACTTGGACCTAGCTGCCAGAGGTAAGGAAGCCTTTCAGGCTAAGTTCTGTCTTCCGTTTTCTTTCTTTTTGTTCATTGAGATTTGTTCTCTCTTCTCCCAGGGCCCTTACGACAGACTTTTACCCACAACCCTCTGCTACAGCATGATCCAAGTCACCCTCCCAACACCCCCAACAGCAGCAAGCCAAAGTCAAAGCCTTGGCATGACACACTTGGCTGATTTCTAGTCTGTGCTCATTCTGACAAGAACTCTGCGTCTTCAGGGACTCCTCCTCCAAACAGACTTGATGGTGTGTCCTCGCCCCAGACCTGGGAACTCCAGGATTTGGAAGTGTCCGTTTTAAAACTTATTGCCACTACAGACTCTTACTCCTGTGTATAAAAGAGCACTAGAGAGCCAGCCGGCCTCCTCATCCAGAGTCAGTAAACGTCTGTCTTGTCTGGGCTTCTTATGTCTCTTAAATCCGGAAGGGGAGTTGTACTTCAGAACTTCCACAGGGTGGAAGGCAATTGCCCACACTGGCCCTTGCTCTTGGGAAGGAATTTCGTGTTTTGATCTGGGCTTCAAAGCTCAGACCTACCTCACATACTGCCCATCTACATTTGCATTTGCACTGTAGAGGTATGGTGGGCAAGACTGTATGGCAGTCTCTTGTGGTACCGGGGATTGATCCTAGATCTCCAGCCCTGAACCATGTTTCTTGACACACACACACACCCCCAAGATTACCTATACAATTTCTTTAAGAAGTAGATGTACTGAAATTCTCAGTGGTAATTTAGAAGACTGAAGGGGGCTATGGAATGGCTCAGCAGGTAAGAGTGCAGATCCCCGGCCCTCATGTGAAAAGCTGAGCGTGGCCCTGTTCTGTGGGGTGTGGAGACAGGAGCATCACTTGGGCTTGCTGGCCATCAGCCTAGCTCCAGGGTCAGTGAGAGAGCCTGTCTCAAGGGAATAAGGTGGAGAGCGACAGGTCAGGATACCTAATGTCCTCCTCTGGCCTCTACATGCACCACACATAAAAAAATGGGGACGCTTTTATGCACTAGCTTTTTACATTGATAACATTTTAGTAGGGCAGTTTACATGTACTTATTTGTAGAAATTGACTTTATAACCTGTCAGCAACTGGCTCCTGAGAGAGAAATTGATTCATTTAGTTTCTGTGTGTGTTTTTGAACTGCATAAATACCCCAGAGTCACTAAATAGAGTAAAGCCACTCAGACTTCAGGAACGTAACCTTTTTATTGTTTTGCAACTATGACAGTTTTGTGTCCCTCTAAAGGAGACAAGTTTGGAGCATTGTTGGCCCTTGTAAAGGAAAAGAGGAGTGGGTAGACACACCCAGTTACTTCCAGAACCAAGCTCCAGAAGTGGCCTGCTTCCTGCCACAGTCTGCAGTATCCCTTTATGAAGTCTGAAACAACACGTAGCAAAACAAATAAATTACTTTTCATCCCTCAAAAGCAAGTTCAAAGTTGAAGCTGTCAAGACTGGGCTCCTGGATGGGGGCCTCCAGAGGTCCTGGCCGATGGGACATAAGAAGCACCCCGGATTCCGAGCTCTAGTTAGACTTGCGACCTTGTTCGGGCGTCTCTCCATCATCCAAATCCAGTTCTGCAGTAACTGACATGCAGAGGATCTGGAGGTACCACGTGGTGGAGGCTGCAGAGAGAAATCTGAGTTACAAGTGAGCCCAGCTTCAGGGGGCTGAGTGCAGTGGCACCAAAGGGGACTGGGTCTGAAAGCAGGGACTCGGTTAAGCCATATGGTTAATAACAGGAACCAATTGTGGTAAGGGGACTGGGGAGCTTAGGTTTGCAGAAAATGGCAAAAAGGAACAAAACCAACGTCTCTTCAGGTAGCTGACGAACTTGAAGACCCAAAGCTTACCCACAATCTTTCGAAGACAGAGAGGTCGTTTGTGCTCCGGCACTCTGATGATGAGGAAGTAGAAGGGTAAACCTGAGAGTGCGATGGCGATGCCGATGAGGGAGTTGATGGTGTCGCTGTAAAGTGGAACGGCCACCAGGAAGATGGTGCACAGGCAGAAGACGATGGGGAAGAAGAGGCTGAGCTAGGCACAGAGGAAACAGCTGGGAGTTAGCTCAGCATGTTGCCGTTTGCTTGCTGTAGCCCACGCTAGCCTAGAACCCTAACCCTGCCTCAGCCTGCTTAGTGCCAAGATGGTAGGTGTGGGTCACTCCACCCAGCTCGGAATTGCTGGCAACCAAAATAATCCTAATCCCATAAAGATAAGAACACTCGGGAGGCAGAGCCAGGCAGATCTTTGTGAGTTCGAGGCCAGCCTGGTCTACAGAGATAGATAGATTCAGGACAGGCACCAAAACTACACAGAGAAACCCTGTCTCGGAAAAAAAAAAAAAAAAAAAAAAAAACACTGAGGCCAGGCAGTGGTGGTGCACACCTTTCATCCCAGCCCTTGGGAGGCAGAGGCAGGCGGATCTCTGAGTTCAAGGCCAGCCTGGTCTACAAAATGAGTTCCAGAACAGCCACGGCTATTACATAGAGAAACCCCCATCTTGGAAAAAACAAAAACAAAACTGAAGGGCTAGCAATAGAACACAGTGGTTGGTATAGCACTTGCCAGACCTAAGTACTCGCTCGGCCTCCTTTCCGTTGTCTGCATGCAAGTCCTACCTAGCTTTGTTTGTGGGGTTTGGTTTTTTATTTTAGGGCAGTGAGGTGAGACAGTGTTGAAGATCCAACCTAAGGCCTTGTGTACGCTAGACAGGTGTTGTACCACCGAGCTGTATCCCAGTCCTTGATGAATGGGTTGTTTGTTTGCGGGGGGTGTTGGTTTGGTTTTTTTGTTTTTTGTTTTTTGTTTTTTTGGTTTTTTTTTTGGTTTTTCGAGACAGGGTTTCTCTGTGTAGCTTTGCGCCTTTTCCTGGAACTTACTTGGTAGCCCAGGCTGGCCTCGAACTCACAGAGATCCGCCTGGCTCTGCCTCCCGAGTGCTGGGATTAAAGGCATGCGCCACCACCGCCCGGCTGGTTTGGTTTTTTATATAAAAAAAAAAAAAAAAAACAAAACAAAAAAAAAAAAAAACAACGTCTCATAAAGCCTAGCCTGACCTTGAACTCCTGATCTTCCTGCCTTCACCTCCCAAGGATTGGGGTGACGGGCACATGCAAATGTGCCCGGCTTCCCAGCCCTTGTGGTTTTCATTGTTTCCGAGTGGTGTTCTGAGTTTTGTTTCTTTAATGCATATGGGTGTTTTGTTGCATGTATGTCTGTACACCACATACATGTCTGGGACCAGAGGAAGCCAGAAGAAGGTATTGGATCCCTTGGAAGTGGAGTTAGACAATTTGAGCCATCATGTGGGTGCTGGGAATCAAACCTGGGTCCTCTTCAAGAGCCAGTGCTCTTAACCACTAAGCCATCTCTTCAACCCCAAGATGTTTTGTTGTTAGTTTTTTAAAGATTTATTTATTTTCATTTTACGTGTATGAGTGTGCCTGCACATATATGTGCCTAGAACCCACAGAGGCCAAAAGAGGTTATTGGATCCCCTAGAACTAGAATTACAGACAATTGTGAGCTGCCATGTGGGTGCTGGGACTCAAACCCAGGTCCTTTGCAAAAGCATCCAGTACTCTTGACTACTGAACCATCCTCTCTCTAGCCCGAGCCTCGGTTTCTTCATTGCAGATATGTGCCACTCTGCCTGACGTAGGGAAAGGAGGAGCTCCTGTAAGATCCCTGCAGCAGCAGCACTAGCTGACTAAATGCAACAGAGGTGGAGTAAGGGAAATAAATTACCTTGAGAGGGCGAGGCCGGTCGGGTTCCTTCCAGCGTAGATACAGCTGACCCACGATAGAAAGCCCCACAAAGAACCAGTAGCTGAAGCTATAGTAGTTAATGAGCTTGAAAATGTCTTCCACACACAAGTAGACCAGTGCCAAGATACCCTGTTGATGCAAGTCCAAGTCAGCTCCTCTCGGGCCCCGGGTATTCTAGGTGCTTTCCACCACACTTAACCCCTCACAAGCCCGTCCCAGGTCACATCTTCAGTCTCCATGTCTGCCTTCTGCTCCAACCCCTGCAGCACTCTTGTCTTGGGACTTCATTCCTCCTCTATTAGAAGAAACTCGCCTTTAGTCAGGTGGTGGTAGTGCACGTCTTTAATCGCAGCACTAGGAAGGTAGAGGCGGGGAGCTGTCTGTGGGTTCAAGGCCAGCCTAGTCTACAGGAGTTTCAGGGCAGCCGGAGCTACACAGAGAAACCCTGCCTCGGAAAAAAAAAAAAAGACAGGTGTAGTGGCACATGCCTTTAATCTCAGCCTTCAGAAGGCAGAGGCAGGTGGATCTCTGCGAGTTTGAGACCAGCCTGGTCTATATAGAGTGAGTTCCAGGGCAGTAAGAACTGTTAAACAGAGAAACCCTGTCTGGGGGCGGGGAGAGGGGGTAGATACTTGCCTCTCATCTAGATTTTTAGTGCATTCTTCAAACCTTCACCAAAGTTAACTCTGACAGTTCAAAGCCTGCAGAAGTCTTGGGCAAAACCCTCCCTGAAGGATGTCTTCAACTAACATTTCTAGTTCTCTGATGACAAAATCCACAAAGCTTTATCAAGGGACTTTGTGATGCTGTCTCCCTACCTAAAGCCCATCTCTGCAAGCCTAACCATCATAGGCCACCTTAAAAGGCTCTCCGCAAAGTTTTTTCTCAGCCAACTTCTGCCCCCATGGAAGTGATCATTTCTTCTCTTAAAGAGTGCATCACACACCATCATGTAGTCTGTGTACCTTACTCCTTTCTTGGAACACAGGTGTTAGCACCTCTCACAGAAGTTTGAGTCTTAGGAACTTCAGCAGTTGGCACAGTGCATCAATACTTTTTAGGTCAGAACCCCCTTTATGGCTTCAGGAACCTAGAGTAGCTATATCCTGTACTACCCAGTCTCCCCCACAGTCTGGCTTTCAGGGTCATCCCTGAGATCACTCACATTGAAGAGTAGAGAAGGCACTGGCGTGAACCGCTCAACATGAATCATACTGATGGCGTCAGGGAGGTGGCCTTCTCTCGAGCCCACAAATAAAAGCCTGTTGAGGTAATAAAATAAGAAAGGCTGACAAAACTGTGGTACACATAAGGCAGCCTGGGTCACCTGTCACATCATCCTCCCTCTCTGTGGTCCCTTCAAAAGGTCTGGATAACAGAAAAAAAGAGTTCAGTGTGGAGCTTAGACATGGAGGCTGCTAATGGGAACAAGAAAGGGATTGGGAACACTGGCCACCGAAATCCCAGACCTAAAGTTTGACTGTCTCCACCAAAGCTTTCCATGATCTCGTCCTGTCAGCAAAAAAATGACAGCCTTACCTAGAAGCAGCCACAATAGAAGCATTGAGACCCCCGAAGCAGGATAATGCAACTGCCACTGGAATTGTCCAGTTGAATATTCCAAAAATCCGGTCTGCAAAGGTCTAAGAAAAAAGAATAGAAGTCATTGGCAGGTCCTAAAAGGGATGAAAAGAATGCATAGGCACATGCCCTGTCCTCAGGAATCCAATCCCTTCCACAGTTGAAGGTAACAGGACCTTCTTGCAAGCCCAGTATCCTAATGTACTCTTATCAGGCTGTCTACTCCATTTCCAAGACTCACTGGGATATTCCAGAAGCCCACAACACACCCTCATCACGCTAGTGAAAATCCTTTACCACAGCCACAGCTTCACTCGCCAAGATGTCCTTCATGTCTAGCACGCTGTAATAGGCCACATTGGTCAAGAGGTAGATGATGGTGACGATGGGCATGGAAATGCCAATGGAGAGGGGCAAGTTCCTACAGCCAAACAGAAGATGAAAGGGTGTGTCAGTCCAAGCATTTTATCCATGCCTCTCAGTCCTCAAACTCTGCCATGCCATCTCTCTAGGGATGCAGACAGCTGTGTTTCCCAGTTCCTTTGCCTTTGAGGTTGCCTGAAGTATTGACGTAAGCTCTGAACTCTTACAAACTAAAAAGTAGTAGGGAGAAGAAGTACTCCCTTAGAAACGTTATGCAGAAAAAGTGAAGTTGCATGTAGTGTTCTTTGTAATCCCAGCTACTCTGGAGGCTGAGATAGGAGGATCCCAAGTTTAAGACCTGTGTGGACGATTTAGTGAGACTGTCCAAAATAAAGACAGAGGCTCAACATGGCTCAGTGGTTAAGAGTGTTCATTGCTCTTGCAGAAGACCTGGGTTCAATTCCTAGCACCCATATGGCAACCCACAATCATCTGTAACTCCAGTTCCAGAAAAGCTGAACTGGCCTCTGAGGGCACTGAGCACACATGTGGTGCACACATGTACGCAGAAAAACACCCACACAGAAATTTTTTAAAGGGCCGAGCCAGGTGGTGGTAGCGCATAACTTTAATCCCAGCACTTGGGAGGCAGAGGCAGACAGATCTCTGAGTTCGAGGCCAGCCTGAGCTATAGAGCTCCGGGACAGCCAGGGCTACACAGAGAAACGCTGTCCTGAAAACCAAAAAATAAAAAATAAAAGGGCTGAGGGCAGAGCTTAGTGGTCAAGTATTTTTCTAGCATGCCTGAGGTCCTGTGCTCAATCTCCAGAACCACCAAAAAGACAACAAAAGGGTGACTTGACCAAGAGCTATGTTATGTTCCAGCATGACGACAGGAAAGTGGAGCTGATTTGTTTCTGCGACCGATGGTCAGGGTCAGGATTCTGTCTCTGAGCGCTGGGAAGTGTGTCTTCGGACTGAGAAACAGAAGACTGTGGAATCTCCCATCTTCAGTAGAAAGAACAGTGTGTGCACCCAAACAGGATGTCATTTAGAGAACTCCAGGTACCATCCTAACTGACAGCCAAGGAAAAGACACAAAGACCCCTCAAGGTCTCTTAAGTGCCAAGAGATCACTATCTATATCAATGCTTGACCGTGAGACCGCCAGAGAAGAGAGGAACAAATACGGGCTGTGTCTGTTTTTCTGGTAGTGGGAATTGAATCTAGGATCAAGGACACATCGCTCTAGAGCCTTAAGCATGCTAACAAATGCTCTGCATGAGCCATACCCCAAGCCCTCTTTTTTGTTGTTGTTGATAGGATCTCAGTAAGTTGCGCAGGGAGGCCTTGAATTCACTCTGTTCCTGGGCTTTGAACTTGTGATGCTCCTGCCTCAGCCTCCAGAGTAGCGGAGTTGCAAGCCTTCGTGAGGCCGAGTTGCAAATAATCCTGTCATTCCGCTTCTGGCCAGTAGGTGGAAGCACCACCCCCCAGCCTCCACTGGCATCCAGGAGCCCTGCTCCTCCATTAGTGCCGGCAGCTGTCTACCAAAAAGGCTTTTTGTTTTTCAAAGCCAAAAGCTGAGTGGTACGGGAATTGTTATAATTTAGGGAAATTATTTCCTGGCATATCTTAGTTTCTAGGATCATAATGTTTTAGAGCCAGGAAAAGCCATGAAATCCTATAATTCAACACCCTTAATTTTCTGTTAAAGAGGCAGGCAAGGGCTAGGGAAACAGCTCAGTCGATGAAGGCCTGCAAGGAGGGCCTGGGTTTGAGCTCAGAGCCCACATGCAAATGCTGGGTGGGCTGTGGAGGATGGTGTGTGCACTTGTAACCCCAGAAACAGGTCGGGACAGGAGGACCTCTGGGGTTCCGTGGCCAGCCAGCTTAGCCTCGTTAGCAAGCTCCAAGCAAGTGAAACAGGTCTCCAAAATAAACAAAAAAAGAAGGGGGCCTGGAGAAATGGTTCAGCAGTTAAGAACACATGTTCTTTCAGAGGACCGAGCTTCTGTGAATGCACATTGGTGGTTCACAACTGTCCATAGCTCTGGTTCCAGGAGCTCCTAGCCCTCTTCTGACCTCTGCATGTTCCTGCACTAATGTGGTGCACACCCATGCACTCAGGCACACACACATACATAGAAAATAGATATTTTTTTAAGTAGTCAGTACCTGCAGAATAGCACCCAAGTGGTTTCCACAAGCATGTGTGCATGCACAGCAGACATACACAAAAAGAGCACCAAGCAAGCTGGGCATTGGTAAGAAGGTTACAAATTTGAGGCTAACCTGGACTACATACATAGTGAGATGCTGTCACAGAAAAAAAAAAAAAAAATGAGTCTTACTGAAGAAAAAAGGAAGGACCAAACATGGTGGCTCATGGGAGGCAGAAGCAGCCGGATCACTATGAGTTTGAGGCCAGCCTGGTCTACAAACGGAGTTCCAGGCCAGCCAGGGCTACACTGTAAGAGCTTGTCTCAAAACAAAGCCAAGGGCCAGGCAGTGGTGGCGCACGCCTGTAATCCCAGCACTCGGGAGGCAGAGGCAGGTGGATCTCTGTGAGTTCGAGGCCAGCCTGGTCTACAGAGGTAGTAGTCCAGGACAGGCTCCAAAGCTACAGAGAAACCCTGTCTCGGAAAACCAAAAAAAAAACAAAGCCAAGGAAGAACAGCAAGTACCTGGCTGCTAAATAAAGGCCGCTGTTGGCCCTCTAACAAATCAAGGACAGATGATTGCAAGACCCGTGGCCCTCAGTCCCGCGCTCCTTATTCTGCACAACTGTGAGGCAATTCAGAGCAGCACTGGTGGGGTGACCCGGTGAATGGCTGGAGCAAGTCCACACTGCCAGTATGAATCAGGGCAAAGAGAAAGGGTTCAGAAAGGAACCGGAAGAAGGAAGTCTATGACCTCAAGTTATCTATGTAGGGATAAGGGTGAGTGGAGGTCTTAAGACAGAAAAAGCTTTATGACACTATCTCACAGTGTGGCTCAGATTAGCTTACAGATGCGAGGGCAGAAGCAATCCTCTTGCTTCAGCCTCCTGCGCAGCTGGCAAGGACCCGTTTAAGAGCAGCTGTAAGCACGAAGGATAACCTGCTTTATTTAATGGAGAAATGGATGAATGTACAAACTTTTTCTAAAAGGATCTACAAAGCATTCTCGAGAAAGTGCACATCTTAGCACGGTTACTGCAATCATGGACAATTAAATCTCTAGGTCTCAACTCCGTTCAAGTCAGGCTGATGAAATGAACCCCCCGAGTTGAGAAGGCATGATGCCTGGTGCGGAAAGGTGATGGTAAAGTACCTACCTCTCAGGATCCCTGATCTCTTCGGTGACATAGTTAAGGGTGTCCCACCCCGAGTAGGAGAACAGAGCTGAATATAGCGCCAAGGCAATGTCACCCATTGCAAAGGACGACCCCTCAAAGGAATTCTCGAAGTTAGTTGTGGCTCCTGGAAGGTGAGAACAAATGGAAGGTTTAATGGCCCACTCTTACTTCAGCTGATCCTGTAAAGGAGAGAAAGCATATGGTAATGTCAGCAGGTGAAGTGCTGCAGGGGTACCACTGAGGGGCGGGGGCCAGAAGAGGCACCTGCAGAGGTCAAGTGAGTGTAGGATGAGAAACTACCGCAGAGCCGAACAGGGCTGGACACTGGGTGCTGCTCTGCTCCACGCTCAGGCTGCCTGAGTCCTAGCCGCTTTCCAACACTCGACAGGGATATCATGGGAGGAGAGACAGGGTTCAGGATGCCCAGGTCAACAGGGGAGTTGCAGGGAAGGCTTCATACCTGGAAACCAGGTAGGAGGGAGGGCAAGGAGCGCATTTCTGACTGCTCACTTCCAAGGGCAGAAATGGCAGAGCAATAGCACTAGGCCCAGCAAGCTGTGAAAGCCAACCCCCAGGGCGTGGCTCTCAGCCCCCTTGCCAAGGTCAGTTTCCTGTGGGAAGCAGCACAGTAGAAGCTGAAGGACGGGCTTTGGAGTCAGGCTGTGGGGCACAAGCTTCAGCTCTTCCAACGCACCACTAGGAACTTGAGGAGGATAATCTGGGAAATCTGTCTGGGGGCTTTGTGATTTTGTTTTAAAATAGGGTCTCACTGTACAGCCCAGGCTGGTCTGGAACTTGCTATGTAGACCAGCCTGGCCTCAAACTTGGAGATCCATTCTACCTCTGAGTGCTGGAATAAAGCATTAAAGCACCACACCCAGTTTTTTGTTGTTATTCTGAGACAGGGTCTTCTGGGTCCCGGGCTGGCCTCAAATTCTCTATATAGCAGAGGATGATCTTTAACTCCTGGGCCCCTGGCCACCACCTCACAAGTACTGGGACTACAGATATGTACCACTCTGCCTGGCTTAAGACAGGTAATTCTGGGGCCTGTTTCCTCACCTATATAAAAGGAATAATAATAGTGCCTACCAAGTATGTTAAAGTACGGCTGAAGTTGTAGATCTGAGATATACAGCTTGCCTAGCATGGCCCAAAACTGGGTTTGATCCCGAACACTCCAGAGAAAAAGAGAAACAGAAAACGTTTAATAAAGGCTAGTTGCTGGTTCGCTCGTTTGTTTTTCTTACCCTGGCCAAGTGTAACAATGCCTGCAATGATGACAGCGATCAGTGCCAACACTTTAGCATAGGTGAAAATATCCTGGACCAGGGTCCCCCACTTGACATAGGCACAGTTAATGAAGGTTAAGAGACCTGAAAGAAAAAGAACACGGATCGGGACCTGCCCTTCCCACCGAGGACCCAAGACTCCAAAGCAACTTTTCCAGCACTGGTCATGGAGAAGAACCCATCGGGCAGCCAGCCACGTGTCTGGGCTGTGCCTGTCTGACGCCCCTCCCCCATGGGCCTCAGTGTCATCACAGCAAGACATGTGCTGAACACCTGTGTTTCCAGCGCCACACTCCCAACCCCCAGCACCTTAAACTGGAGTCACAGAGCAAGGGGGCAAAATTCCTGGTCAAGTGGGAGGCACCTGGGAGTTGTACAGATTGGTGATGTATTCTGGTCCTTGGCTCTTTAAAATCAGTCTTTCCTTCCTATGCGTGCGTGCGCGCACGCACACACACACACACACACACACACACACACACACACACACACAGGTCTAGAACCCAACATCCTGGCTCTGTGCTGTTGGTATTGACCTTGACAAGTCATGCTGTAACTTACTTAATGTCTAGGCCGGCAGGTTAGTGTGTGTGTCCAAGGATTAAGGACGAAGACCAAACTTCCTGCCCCCTGCCCACTGGCCCCGCTATTTGTTTTGTGCCTGGTAAAACTCTTGCAGCTAAAACAAGTTCCTGTAGAAAGAGGGCAGGGCACTTTTCCTGCCTGAACAGTATGAGCCATGAACATTCCTCAGGTCCTTCTACCCTGGGCAGCCCCTCTACTTGGATGAACTCAGGGAAAGTTCACAGACCATCCTCAGAGAAGTGTTTGTAACAGGGCGTGACAGCCTCTTGCAAAGTGTTATGGCACATGAACATACATATTTCCCTGAAAAGAGTCCATATCTTCCATCAAAATCTCCGAGTACCATCAGGGAGCACAGCTCAGTGATAGATAGTGTGTTCAAATGCACGAAGCCCTAGGTTCAAATCTTTTCACCGAGAAAATAATAATCTCAGAAAAATTCATTAGCCCAAAAGTTACAATCCACTACTTTGGAAGAAAATCAAGAAGGGAAGCCCACACATGCTGTGAGGCTGGCTAGCAGCCCAGGGATTCTGGACCCAGGGGAAGAAAGTAGGGCTTTCAAGCACTAGAAGACCGAGACAGCAGGATTGCCTAATATTAGATCCAAAGGAGACTGCAATTCCCCAGACTCCAAAAGGTAGTCCAAACATCCAGAAACGAGCCCAGCCCAGACTACAGGAGGATTTCTGGAGGTCAGATAAAAGCCAGCGTTCCTCAGGAACTTGGGAAGCCAGTTCACCTCTACCAAAAGGAGTCCTTTCCCTTATCACTGGCAGAAAGGACAAATATGGCTGTGGTACCTACTAACACTCCAAAGCACAGGCTGACCTCCAGGCTCCTCATATCACAAGTACCTGTCACACATTTCAAAGTCTGTGCTAGCACGCCAGCTCTTCTCACTTTCTCCCTACTGTAAATTCCCTCCAGCTCACAGGCTTCCCTCCCCCTCCAGCTATTCATACTTCTTATAACCCTGCTATTTTCACTATTCACTGTGCTCTCCCTCCTCTCCTCCCTCTCCCTCTCTCTCTTTCCATCTCATTTCTACATTTAAACCTTCCCCTTCAGCATACCATGGAGCACTCACGTTGTCAGTTTATACACCTACGAATTTTAACTGAGGTCAGCCTGGATCCCAGTGAATCTCAGGCCAGCCTGGGCTACAGAGACTCTCCTCAGGAAGGAAAGAAAGCAACTTAAAAGAAAGCAACTTAAACCCTCTGCATGGGTCCACAGACCTCCTGTGCTTGTTAGGTCCTGACTCCCTTCTCATTCTAGCCTGGAGGCCACTTCACTAAAAAACAGAGAAAATCAGTCATCTTCCTTCCAATCTTCCTTCTGACCTGTGTGTGTGTGTGTGTGTGTGTGTGTGTGTGTGTGTGTGTGTGTGTGTGCCTGTGTCTGTGTATGTCTGTGTGCCTGTGTCTGTGTATGTCTGTGTCTGTGTGTGTGTATGTCTGTGTGTGTGTCTGTGTCTGTGTGTCTCTGTGTGCCTCTGTGTGTGTCTGTGTCTGTGTGTGTCTGTGTGTGTCTGGGTCTGTGTGTCTCTGTGTGTCTGTGTGTGTCTGTGTGTGTCTGTGTGTCTGTGTCTGTGTGTGTCAGTGTCTGTGTGTCCATGTGTGCAAGCACACGCATGTGTGCTCACTCGTGCAGGCACCTGTGGAAGCCAACGTCAGGCATTTTCCTCAATCACTTCCCCGCCTTACCTTTCACTATAACTATTCCCATGTCAATGTGCATGTCACAGCACACGTGTGGAGGTCAGGGGACAGCTTGAGGGAGACAGCCCTCTCCTTCCACCACGTGGGACCTGGGGATCCAGCTTGGGCTTGGTGGCAGGAGCCATCTTGCCAACTCTCCACCCTACTTTTTTGCGATAATCTCACTGCACCTGGAGCGCATCTATGTTTCCTCAAGCACTCAGCAACCTGGCACTTCCAGCAGGGGCCGAGGATCTGAACTCGGGTCTCCTCCCTTGGGCAGCAGGCACTTGGCCTAGAGCCACTTCCCCGGCCCCCTCTGACTCCTTTCTATTCATTGCCTACATTGTTTTCTAATTTCACTGAGGGGCTTTCCAGCTCTATTCAAATATATGTCTTTGTGCCTAGTAGACATGACAATAAACAACCAAGCCTTATCACAAGGCTGAGCAAACATGTACCCATCGCTCCAGGTCACCCCAGTGCTAAGTTAATAATTAAAGACACAAGTGTACTGACTCTCCAGTAATCCCGCACACTAAAGAGCCTTTATCGTGCCCTCCACAAGCCTGTCAAAGGCTGACCTTCCTCAGCAGTCATCCATCCCTCACTCTCCCCTGGACTTCCAGCCTCAGCTATTCGACGGCCTCGAGCCCCGTCTCCCCATCCTGTAATCTCTAACCCTCGCCTTTCGGCTCTGCTCTGACTTAGAAACGCAACACAAACCAGGTTTCCTTTAGAAACACTAAGCACAGATTCGCTGATGCTGCCATACGCCTGATCGGGAGAGTGGGATCCCGGACTGGAACCACCCGGCAGAAATGAAGACATTCTAAGAGGTCAAACTTCCGTCCCTCCCAACGTGTGGCTAGCAGGCTATTGAAGCAATGGTCCCCAAGAAGTTGGAATCTCCCCAGGAGTCTCACGCTGGGAGAAGAAAAAAGCTGAAGCCTGGTGCCAACCGGAGGAAAACCTTGTCACTCAAAGAGATTTCACACAGTTCTGACAATTTCTCAGACCACCTTGCAAGAGAGGCTAGAGCTAAGACAATGAGGGGCGTGGGTGGGCAAAACCACTCTTTTGCCGGGCGGTGGTGGCGCACGCCTTTAATCCCAGCACTCGGGAGGCAGAGCCAGGCGGATCTCTGTGAGTTCGAGGCCAGCCTGGTCTCCAAAGCGAGTTCCAGGAAAGGCGCAAAGCTACACAGAGAAACCCTGTCTCGAAAAACCAAAAAAAAAAAAATAAAAAAAAATAAAATAAAATAAAACCACTCTTTTACTGAGACCACTTAGCTATGTACACCTCTTACCCTCTATTTAAACCGGAAGCTCCTGATGTAGGATCTGCTGGAACTCTTCACTGGCTTCTCTTCCCAGGGTAGCCATATCAAGTCAATCCCCTGCCTCTGCTTCTACTCTGACTTTGTCTCTTTGGGGCCTACTATGGACCGGGGTGGCCCAGCCTAGCTCTGTAAGGCTGCCAGGGCCCAGGGTCTTCCCCTCGCAACTCTGGTAACATAACAAGTTCCTGGTTAGGTTGCAGAGTAACTATAGGTCACAACTGGAGTAGACATAGAGAAGTGTCTGGTTCACAGCGTCTGCAGCTCTACGCCACAGGGCTCTTGTCTCGAGTCTGTTCGGGGACATGAGCACAGAAAGGCAGAGCCAGCCGACTCACTCCCCTTCCTTACGGCAAGCCCCTGCCATGAGAATGTAGAGCAATAGTTCTCAACCTTCCTAATGCTGTGACCCTTTAATACAGTTCCTCATGTTGTGGTGACCCCCAACCATAAAACTATTTTGTTGCTACTTCATAACTGTAATTTTCTACTGTTATGATTGTAATGGACATATCTGATATGCAGGATATCTAATATGCAGCCCCTGTGAAAGGGTCATTCGACACCCCCCCCGGGGTCGTGACCCACAGGTTGAGAATCACTGACGTAGAGGTTGCTTCTATTTTGATCCCTACTGCTTCTCCATCCATTCACTTCATCCCGTGATCCCCGCTACTGTACTTACTTTTCAGCCACAGACCCACCACCATGCCCTGCTCTACTCTCTGGACTGAACATGGGGAGCGAGGCTCAGTTTGAATGCTGTACAACGAGAACAGAGCACTGAGGGAGCCGCGTGAAGAGAGCTGGCTCGCCCCTTCCACAGCCCCCAGCTTCCTCCAGAGCTCCTGGTCCTGGGAACAGGAAATGGATAAGGCAAGCCTCAGTGCTGAGTAGGCTCTCTGTTCCCACCCCTAACAGATACAGCTGACCAGAGTCCCCAAAGCTCAGCCAAACGCAAGGCTCTTGAAACATAGCCCAACCTCTTGCTTCAGGGTCTGAGACCAGAAAGGAAAAGTTGGGTTAGAATAACAGATGCAGCTGCAGGTCAACCTCCAGACAGATAGCCTACCCTTCTACCTCTGGGGGTAATTCAGTCCCCACCCAACGCTGAGCCAAGTCCATGGGAGGATTGCCTAAAATGACCTTTAACCTTGACCCAGCTGCTACTCCATTCCTGTTTTAACTTCAGGGGGCGGAAAGCAGCTGCTGCAGAGATATCACCCCCTTAACCTGAAAAGGTCCTCCAGGAAAGGTCATCCCAGCAGATGCCAGGTCCCCAGGGAGGAGGCTGGCTCTGCCACTAAGGCCTAGAATCAGCACTAGAACAAAATGGAAACTCCCAGCCAGGGTTGTTCTGAAAGGGAACAATGAGGGGCTATGTACTTAAGAGCACTCATGTCTGATTCCCAGCACCCACACAGCGTCTCACAACTACCCATCATTCCAGTTCTAGG